TTATCGATCGAATGGTATTATTTCTTAGCAGTCGTGTCTAGGGGTGTCTCAGCAGAATGGATTGGTTGAAAGGAAACATCGGCATGTGCTGGAGCTGACTCGATCTCTTCTTTTGCAGGCGCAAGTTCCCCGTGGATTTTGTGCTGTCGTATATGTGATCAACCAGCAGATTACTTCCACTTTGCAAGATCGCTCTCCTTACTTTTGTCTCTTCTCTAAACAACCCGATTATTCATGGTTAAGGGTGTTTGGCTGTGTATGCTTCGTTCTCCTTCCCAAAAAGGAGCATAATAAGCTTGAATCGAAGACTGCTCAGTGTGTTTTCTTGGGATACAGTGACCGTCATAAGGGGTACCTTTGTTATGATCCTCAGGAGCGTCGGATGAGCATATCTTCTCACGTTGTCTTTCTTGAGCAGGTTATGTTTTACTCACTTCCTCCTGAGGAGCATAAGTCTACTTAGGACATTCTTCAGCCTTTGCCTGAGTTTGAGATTACGCCTCCTGTAGCTGCCAAACCAGATGACCTGGATCCGCCATCTCCCCTAGTTACTTCGTCATCTGCACATCAGTCCTCCTCATCGGGCTCATCTGATCTAGGTTCATCTCCCTCACATAACACCCAGTCCGGATCGTCATTTTCCTCTTCCTCTAGTTCGAGTGTCCATTCTAACCTGCCATCGTCTCCCCTGCTTCGTCGGTCCAATCGCAGCACCCTCGGCCAACCTCCTCTTCGCATGAGGGACTACGTCGGATTCTCTACTGAACCAATTCTAGTCCCTACTCACTACTGCTATGCAGTTGGTCATCCTGAGTGGGACGCAACCATGGCTGAAGAGACTCGTGTGCTTGAGGCAAATAGGACATGGGATATCGTTCCTCGGATTCCGGGTATTCATGTGCTTGGTAATCGCTGAGTGTATAACATTAAGATGTTTCCGGATGGAAGCATTGAGCGTCATAAGGCACGTCTAGTGGCATAAGGTTTTGAGCAGGAGTATGGTATTGATTAGGACGAGACATTTGCCTCGGTAGTTCGTATGCAGACTGTTCGTAGTATTTTTGCTTTGCCGCAATGCGGAACTGGCCGCTTATTCAGTTAGATGTGAAAAATGCCTTTCTGCATGGTGATTTGAAAGAAACCATTTATATGGAGTGCCCTCCTGGATATGACAAAGGGGGGAAAGATGTGATATGCAAACTGCGGAAGTCTTTGTATGGGCTGAAACAAGCACCGCGGGCATGGTTTGAAAAATTTCATGGGACGATTATGCAGGCAGGCTTTTCTCAGAGCACGAGTGATCCTTCTATGTTTATGCGGCACACAGTTCATAGAAATGTTGTTCTATTGCTCTATGTTGATGACATGATAGTGACAGGCAGTGATGCAGATGCATTCGAGAGCTAACGCAGTCATTACATTCTGCGTTTAATCTCAAGGAGCTAGGGGATGTGTCGTATTTCCTTGGGTTGGAGGTGAGTAACCCGAAGAAGGGGTTATTCATTAGTCAACATAAGTATATAGTTGATCTTCTTGAAACAGCTCAGTACAGTGATTGCCGACCATGCTCTACTCCAATGGAGCAGAAACTAAAGCAAAGTAGAGCAGTGGAGAGTTGTTGGAAGATCAGACTTTCTACAGGAGCATAGTAGGGAGCTTGTTTTACCTCACCCATACCAGATATGATATAGCCTATGAAGTACAGAATGTGGGTCAGTTCATGTGGGCAGCCAGAACGTTACATTTAGATGTGGTACATAGATTGCTGAGGTAGTTAAAGCACACACATGATGTGGGAATGTTTTTCCCAGCAGACAACTCATCTGTCTTAGAGGGATTTGCTGATGCAGACTATGCAGGATGCCTGGATACTCGACGATCCACTTCTGGATGGTGTGTGAGACTCGGTCACTCGTTTATCTCATGGAGATGTCGTAAACAGGATAAGGTGTCGAAATCTTCGACTAAGGCTGAATAGCGTTCTATGTTGGAGTTGAGTTCTGAAATGGTTTGGTTAGAGCACTTGCTGAATGAGCTAGGAGTCGAGTGTCAGGTTCCGATGCGTATCTATGTAGACAATACCAGTGATATTCAAATAGCAATCAATCTTGTGCCTCATGATAGGACAAAGCACATAGAGGTTCACGCACTCTACATTTGACAGCTAATTGCAGAAGGGAGGATACAACTGAGTCATTTGTCGACTGAAGATCATACTGATGACTTGTTAACAAAGGCTGTGGCATCCAGCCGACATTGGTATTTATCTTGCAAATTGAAAAAGCCTATATATATGTACTCATGTAAAGGTGAAGAGTATCAAGTAACATAATCGTAAAACCTGTGAGGAAGATCCTCACTGTGGACTAGTGTCATATTGACAAAACCACGTTAAGAAACTCGGTGTTCTTTATGTTTTCTTGCAAGTTTGACAAACCGGAAAGAGGCTGGCGGTTCCAAAAGGGGAGAGAGAAAACAAGCCCGCCTAAATGCCCAACCACATCACTCTAGGGGCAGGGATTTTTGAATGGAGGGTGCTTGTAACACCCCAGCCTAAAATCATGGGTCGAACCGATGGTTCAACCGCGCAGCGGAAATCACTCGGGGTTTACGTTTTCAAAATCTCGACTCAACTCACATTCACATCATTCTCATATGTTTAAAATTCAACTCATCATAACAATTTACTAAAATCATATTCTCAATTCATTAATCCATCTTCGTCAAATTCAGGATTCACCAAACCCAGACTATCAATCTCGTCTACTCCGTTCATGCTCAACTCAAGTTAATGATCATATTTGACTAACGTAAACTATCATGCATGCTCAAAACCCGAATCATAAAAATAATGATTTCGGAGTACATCAATATGTGAAAAACCTTTTAAACCAAAATCCTCCATCGATCATTGTGCAGTGCCAAAGTCATCCTCAATTTACCACACCTGTCACATCTAGAAAGAAAAATGGGTCAGCTACTAAGCTGAGTGTGTGGACCTGGCCTATACGGCAAAACTATTGTTAGCATGCCATCACATCATCACATATTGTTGATTAAAAACACATCATCAACAAATTATCATGCCACACGAAAATCTCATTAATCTCTATATTTATTTCTAGGTCATCAATACAAATTCATCTTTAACCCAATTCCTCATGGTATGACTTTCATTAATCAAGTCCTATATCGACATAAAATCGTAAACTTACCTCAACTCATGAATCCATCATATCAACCGTTCATTCAAAGTCAACTCATCATTTAATCATCAACCATGTCAATCATTCATCCATAATCAAATCACCATTTCGGCGCAACCATATCAATCTCTCAATCAATCATCAATCAAATATCACTTTACGATTTCCTTCATGGAAATCATCACCATCATATATATCATATGCAATGCATGAAATGCAGACTCTCCATTTATTATTAATTTGCGCGCTAAGGTCACCATACGCCCACCCCCGCTCGAGCTCATCATCTTAGTGGTTATAACGAAAACCACAATCTCATCAAATCTAGGATTATCATAACTCCTTTCATTAGGACCGCAGCCCAATCAATCTCATATGGGTAGGCATAGGCCCTTCTATGTCTATGTGATTTAACATGATCAAACAATATCAATTTCTCTCTTCCATCATATCTCAATCGATCCAAGAAATAAACAGCGTCCCATTGATATTCCCAGTCCATGAATATCTCACATCATCTATGCATACTTTGATGCATTGCATGATCTCAATATAATCATCATCTCCTCAATGATATAAGTAATTCATTCTCTTCAATCAAACTTGACAAATCTACCAAGTACTCACTTTATCAATATCTCATTCACTCATCGTAATCATTTAACACATCAATTACAAATCGATCATGATAATATCTCATCCACATCATCATTAATCAAAGCATTCATCATATCAACATTGTCACAAAATATCTCGATAATATTTATATTTACCAATCACATTTATACCAATCGATATTCTAATCACGTCATACTCATACACGTCAATCGTATCACTATCACTCAATATCCCTGTCATTATCATCATCATGCCATAATCATACATATCAATAATCAATATATATTTTATTCGTCATCAAATCATTTAATCATACGAAGCATATAATAACAATAAAAATACATCAAATTATCCATATCGTCCATTAACTAATTTCATCAACATATCAACTAAACATATTATAATCAAAATCTTGTTTTCATGAATTTATATTAATAACTTGAAACCATTCTGAAAAGGACCATACCCAATATATAAGTCTCACGATTATCAAAAGTTCATTTGAAAAGGTCTCCCTTAATAACACATCTCTCAATAATTATTTCTTAAAGTACAAACCAAATCATAGTTCGTCATGATTCATTAATAAGACTATTTTCCATATTTCAATTAAATACTCAATTAACCATTTCTCAAAATTAATCTTAAAACGTAAATCAAATATAATCCAAGATTAAATTACTCCTGGTAATCACTTTGAACTCACACTCTAGTTTAAATAATTTTCTCTTAATCACCACTATTCTGAAAAATCATAATACGTTCTCTTTAATAACGAAACTACGTAGAAACCGGTTTCATCCATCCAAAAATCCAAAAAATTCATAAATTATTTATTTTAATTATTCTAACCAGAATTAATTTCTCATATACTCATCCAATTTAGTAATTCCCAATTTCACCCTTTTAACGTCATAACTTCAATTAATTCCGAAAAGTCAATTATTACCAATATAATCATTGTCATGGTAATATATCATGACTAATGTTGTCTCAAGTTTCCTTAAATTTCCTTTCCTTATTCTGATCTCAATAGATATTTTCAGAAAATATTTGGAGTTCACCATATACATCAAGAATTCCAATACCAGATTAATAATAATTATTATCATAAAAATAAGTTAACTTCATCAACAATTTCATCCAAGATCACAATCATGAACCAATCACAAATCCATCATAATCAATAATCATCAACTCAATCATGCGTATTTAGAAATAAACACGTAATTCCGGTTCCCTTTTACCGTAAGCCCACACACCTTATTTATGACGAAATCCGATTCTGTGAAAGCTCTGGAAATTCCAGATCTTGGTTTCATAATATTCTCCTCGTTCTCACGATCCTGTAGGTGAAAACGGTTCGTCGTTTGGACGTCAAATGAACGAACTATGAACGAAATACGAATTTCGTTAGTACTCAAAGTACCAGGGACTAAATACGAAGTTTACCAGTCAACTAAAAGATGTTGACCCGTCTCTGTGAGAAAATTACAGAGAGGTCCTTTAACTTTTCGATTTACCAGACATGGTACCTGGATTTGACAGATTTTTGCTCAAAGTTCGGAGGCTCGGTTCTCCCTCATCCGACGTCCGAATTCGATTTTGTCGACACGATGACGCTCCTGAGATCGCCCTCTACGCAACCATATTCACCTTTTGAAGTTTCGCCGAATTTCAAAAATTTCCAGATTCCGGTGACACGCCGACGAAGCTCCGACGAAACTTCTAACAACCTCCAAACTGAATTCTGACTCCGTAGATGGCTTCCGGACCCCTCGTTTACTCTAACCCGAGCAATGAAAGGTGGTTTCCTCCATTTTTCTTCTCTCCTCATTTCTTTCTTCCAAATGGTTTTTGGTTCGCTCAAAGGAGAGGAAGAAAAATGAGAAGAAGAACACTCTCCATGCTTCTGTATTATTGCGTTCTAAAGTCAATGGATAAGGTTAGGTGACCACCAAAATCTGTCGGGAAAATAATTGATCTTCTCCCTCTCTCCGTCGGTGCAAAATGCATTAGTTGGCTTGAGATTTAGGTCTCAAGATTAATACGCAGAAGACTCTTTATTAGCATGCACAGAAAGCATACAGTCTAGTGATGTAATGCTTGTCTCATTGGCATAAGGTCACCGTTTCGATCTTAAGCTGTGCACATATTCTTTTTTTTTTGTTTTTTTTTCTGTTTTGTGCGGCTCCCACTATTTAATTCATAACTCTTTCGTTAGACATCAGAATTCATCCCCGTTTGCGCCTAAGCGTTTGTATTTTCATCATCTATTAAGATTCATTCATATTGCATTTATTTACCAATCTTATCTCGTATCCAATTGACAAAAGTCGTGATTCTTTGTTCAAGTTGAAACTCATGATCTTTTCCATAATGGTTGAACTTCATCCTTTCTCCATCAAACCGAAATGGTTTACAAATTACCCAAAGTTTGGGATGTTACAGTGCAGTTTTATTTATAGTATAGATTTTTATGAAAAACTTAAGCCACCTTTTTTTTATAGAACAAGGCTCCATAATTTCTGGATAGGCTCCACAATTAAATACTATTGTTGCTAATATACATGCGTGATGGAGCTACCAGGTTTGTGATGGAATGATGGCCTACGACAGGCCTAGTAAACGAGACAGTTAAAGCTGGGATTGATGGTTACCTTGCAACTTTGGGCTCAACTAGTCGGCCGGCTTGATGTTGTAAAATCTTTGTTCACGACTGCAAGCCCTTTTTCCTCGGCCCAAGCCCCTTTCACTCCTCCAAGTATCCTAGACACAGTTCTTCGCATTTCCTTTTCCTCACCAAAAGAAGCGATGAGGGAAAAAGGTTATGTAGCAAACCCAAAGTGGATGGTAGTCTTAGTCTAGTCGGCCAGGCAGCTCGAGAATAAATGGCTCACAGGATAAGCTAATTGTATTGACCAGCACGAGAATGTCTGCAGTTGTTATCCTCTCTAATACTCAACTAACCGATCTCGATTTCGCACATCGAACTGGTATAGAACCGGATAGAAGAAAGTACTGGTAGCATTAATAAAATTAAAAACGTGAAGATGCAAATTTTATAATGTTATATAGCATAGTATTGGTACTATAGGTTTTTGTCTTTATGGTACAATTTAAAATTGTACAATTAATGTTATGGTATAACTTCATATTGTACCTATACTTTTTGTACAAATTTTTTATGTTACAACTTGAACTTGTACATTTATGTATTGGTACAACTTCAAGTTGTGACATTGTACCATAACTTAATGTACAAATTCCTTTATTGTACAACATAAACTTATACATTTAACTTTATGGTACAACTTCAAATTGTACATTAAAGCACAAACACTTTATAGCATAGTAGAAGTGCTCTGATCTAGATACATGTAAAGAGATGTGGATATGGAATCATATAGAAGAAAGTAATTGTATAATAACAAAAAAAAAAAAAGCGAGGCTAAGGAAGGCGATAGATACAAGGCCGGCGTTGGGTCCTGCATACTCTAGGATACTTAGGTGGCGTCTAGGCGGTATCTAGTAGGGCTGGCTATTTGGACCGGGACCGGATGAAAAACCGGAAACCGGACCGTATAACTCGGACCGGGACCGGGACCGGATAGTAAACAATCCAATCCAATCTTTGGGCTTAGATTTGAGGTAAAAAACCGGATAAAGACCGGATAAGAGAGTTCAACACCCAAAACTTAAGGGTAATTTGCATAAACGGTCACAAACCTTTGCATTTAGTACAAAACTTAACCAACTCCTCGCCCTTTTAGGCCTTAGGCCACTCAAATTCCCACAATCTCAATATAAAATCAAGACCGAATTGAGACCGGATCGGGTCAAGACCGGACCGGATCAAGACCGGAATGTATCCAATCCAATCTTCGGTCCTTATATTTTCAAAAAAAAAACGGACTGGACCGGATCAATTTGGGCCAATTTAACCGGACCGGACCGTATAGCCACCCCTAGTATCTAGGTATTTTAACCTATCACAACAATTTTATAGAACTTTTTATCTTTTGTAAAAAAAAAAAGAACTTTTTATCTAGCCTCAATTTCAAATGATTAATTAATAATTTAGCTAACCCTCAACAACAAACAAACTATTTCATGATTTCGTAAAAGTTGGAAACATAATCTTAGAAAAATTAGAATCACAACTTCACAACCAAGGTTGTTGACCCGGACCCGGTCGAGCTAGTGGGTCAAGGGTTAATGGGTCACCCATTTTAGCCCGGTTTGGCCCGGAAATATGGAAAGAATCATTATATTGTATTTATCTTCAGAAATTATATCAAATCTTATCTAACATATTAGTTATAACATATAATATTATACCAAAATAACATATCGTACTTAGATCCAACATATAGTGAAAATTCACACACGCATATATAACATAAATATTCAAATGTATAACTTATGATTCCAAAGATTCAGTTAGGTGAAAAGAAAATTTGGAAAATAGACACATTTTACAAACTAAAGAAAAAAATGACACAATTTGACCTTCAACCCGGTACCTTGTAACGGTCGGCCCGGCAGGTCCGTGCGACCCGTTTTTCTCACCGGGTCAGAGTTAAATTGGGTCGACCCGCTGGTCAACCCGCGGATTGACAACCTTGTTCACAACACAAGTTCACATAAAAAACAAAATCATAGCAACAAGAATTTATGGGCAAAACTAGAGATGAGAAGTACTGCAGTCGTCCACGATGAATTTAGTGGCAGAGGAGAAGTCACTGCAATTCGAAGAGCTCTGTTAACCTAACTTTTTGTTTAATAATTTCAATTAAGGAATGCGGCTTGTGTACTGTGTAGGATGGGTCGTTGGGACTGGGAATGACAATTTGAACCCGTCCAACCGAAACTGAGTAATAATCGACCTGATTTGTGATGGCGAGTATATATTACCTGACACGTAACAATGTGGGACGGGACATGAGTATCTACTTCCAACCCGCCCTGCCCTATCTCGCCACGCACTATTCTTTGTCTATTCTATCTCAATTTCTTTTAATATTTATTTATATTTCCCCTATTTTGGCATTTTTTCAACTAGCTAGACTTGTTTTTTCAATTAGCTAGACTCAATTACCCATTATATTATCACTATTTTTCATTAATGAAGTGTTTTCCCTTTGTTTTGCCGTAAAATGTAACATTTTGCGTGTATTTTTTTCAAATAACATGTAAGAGTGAATCTACCCACCCTGATCCCATACCGGTGCGAGTATTACCTACCCCGGCCCGTGCTTGGTACAAAGCGGGTATGGGTATTGAGATACCCGCCCCGCTCTTTTGCCATCACTACTTCTGATCAATTGGCCGAACGGAAGGATATGGCATTCGTTTGCCATCACTTTTTTGGCAATTTTAATTTATTTTTAATCTTTAGTCGCCATACCACCTAGCTTCGATTAGTCATGCTTGAGCCGATTAATTGCGCCTAGCATCGTCTAGGTGGCGCCTAACTCTACCTTAATGCTATGAATGCCTAATAATCTGCTTATAGAACCTTGGCGATTACTATCTAGACACGACTAAACGTACACGAAATTAGACTATAACCACCTATACATAGTACAGTGCACAATACTTGACATCAGTTTCAATAAAATAACGAATTCCAAAGCTCAAGGAATAGTAATAAATTAATATCAAGCTCGAGAAATATCAAGTAATTAAAAGGATCTCGTTCGGAAAACTTAATACCTATTATAAAGTTAGAATGTGGTTACTGTGACATAAGAGGTTGATTAAAATGACATGGAGTTTAATTGTTGTAAGTGACAGTCACCTCTAAATTCAACACATGGCTATTTATGGCTATTTATAGAGTAATTTGTCTTCTTTGACCAATTTCTTGAAGCTTTTGTAATTGGTTTTAAATTTATTTTATCTAATTCACTTTAATTCTACCTTCTCTTTTTTATACTATGCTTTTTCCAAAAATTGAAAAAAGCATATCGGAGGTTGTATCAAAAAAGTTTGTGATAATGTATTTTATGCTAACCCAATTCTTTAATCGTGGTTCAACCATTTCATATCACTAAATACCACCAATCGGTTTCGCTTCTGATAGGAGGTTTTTATAGTCGATTAGGAAGCTACATCCAAGAATTTCCTTTGAAGTTGGATGTCAAATAGAAAAATTAATCTTCCTCCATAAGGGTCGCTTCTTTATGCTAGCGATCAACCCACAACCTTTGCTATGGTCACCGAACTTCCCAGCCTTAGCCTTCTTGATTGATAAGGAAGGACATGAGTCACACGACCCAGTCCTAAACTATGCTTTTCTAAATCAATCAATCGAGATTCTTAGAGTGAGACACAAAGTTGAGGTGATCCAAAGATATCCTGGCTGGAGTGAAGGCGGAGAAATAGTTCCACGTGCAGAGGTGGAGTTGGCGGCGGGTGACGAAGAATCTAATTTGGTCAGATTCATATCTTGATTTATCCTAGGACGTGGATGTAATGTGTGTGCTGATATGGGTAAATGAAAAAAGAGGAACACTAGGACACCAGATATCAAAAGACAACTAAAAGGAAATTGGTATGGAGAGTTGTAGATGCGACTCATGCAAGGATGAAGGAAAGTGAATGGAAGAAAAAAAAATCAATAGTCGGGGAAAGGAGAGAAGAGCAGCAAAGGAAACTAAAACGGCAATTAATTACCTTATATGTTGTTCTCCAATATTGATGTCATTTTTTAGGAAGAATACCAACTTAGGTAACCAGAGCGTAGAGCGGGAGCGGGAGCGGGAGCGAGAGCGTCGGAACGTGAGTTATTGAAGAATTCAATATTGAAAGCGTGAATAGAGCGTCAATATTATATTATTTTTCATAAAAAATATTATATTTTCAAATTATTAACTAAAATATAGGCAATATTATTACAACTTACTCTTAGAAATTATTGACAAATATATATTACTTGTTTTATTATCAATTAAAATTGCATTTTGTGGAGAACATATACCAATATAATTAATGTATATCTACTCAAATTTACGAATAAAAAATTTAAAAACTCATACACTTATACAATTATTATTAACATTATAATTTATAATAATAAAAATTATCAACCCACTTACATTAGATAGAGAGTTTTAGTGGCGTTGATAAGGGGGTCTCCCCACTGTACCACCAACCCACCCTCTTCTCATTTCTATGTTGTTTGTGGTTCTTATCGCTTCCTTCCTCTTTTCTTCTACCCAAAGACCCAAAATCAGGAACAACTTAATATACGCAATGAAACATCTCTTTGATCCAAGCTTGCCGTCAAAGACGGGAAGAGAATAGATTTTAGAAAGTCCGTATAAAGATGCTGGTGAGAAGCCCTCATCGCTCACCTTCGTTCATTGTCGCCGATCCGAGCTCTTCACCCAAGTGTTGTATCTGCTATCCAGAAACGGAAGCCACAAGAAGCTCCACCGCCTATTGATTCGACCACAATCAACAGATCTCAAGCAGCGCTACCCCACTGCCGATATTGGTCTTGTTGCATGCATCTCAATTTCCATGGAACCATGGAATTTCCAGATTTTTGTATCCCCTTTGTTCTTAATTTCATCTTCCGAAACCAGGGGGACTGGACCCAACAGGTAAACAGAGTTTAGCTTGTGACAAATAGGCTCAGAAGGGGATTCAAGTGGACAAACGACAAGAAGAGGAAGATGATCAATGTTAGCCTTCTGAATTCGATGAGAGATCGCGCTCCCAAATACCAAAATCGCGCTCTCACTAAAACTAATTCGCGAATCTTTGACGAACTCCCAAAAATCCGCGTTTTGGCGTTTTGGAGCGGGTACGTGGAGGGTGGGGTGGCGAATTGGGTGACCTAAATACCAACTATGTTTTGTTAATTTCAGTTACTTTTCCCGTTCAGACATGTAAGTCCAGTTCTTCGTCTTAGTAGGAAAGTGAATTAATTTTCTTATTGAAGCTAATTCTTTCTCCGACCCACTTCCTTCCTTGCATAGACGGGTTGGCAAACAAATTCATATATGAACTGGAAAGCCGCGGCAAAGCGCGGAGAAAATACCCTAGTATATATTAAGTTATTATTCTGTGAAGATAATAATCGTAAGGCAGAAATAGTGAAGCATGCATTGCGTGTATATATATATATATGGTGCCTTCTACGGTACCCCGGGTGAAATCCGGGGTACCGCATACCCTGAGTATGAAAACGCTATCTAGACCTCGAATTAGCAGGGTTTTTGGGCATGATACTATACCCTAACCCTTAATGAGTGAACCCTAGGTCCTAATTATCTAAATCATAAACTATAAACTCTAAGATGGTGCATTGATTTTTTTGCCTATATTTGGACGAATCATAACCGTCGATTATTATTTCTAACTAAATTGATCTTGGGGTATAAGATTTAGAGAATTAAGACCTAGATGTTGATCTTTAATGGTTAGAGTATACTATCATGTACGAAAGATTAGTAAATTCAAGTTCTGGATAGCGTTTTCTTACTCAAGGTATGTGGTACCCTGGATTTCACTCTGGGTACCGTAGAACTCCCAATATATATATATAAAATGTACATAAATGTAATGTATGGCCAAGCTCATAGAAGAGAAAATGTTGATTGAAAAAAGTTGGGGAATTTTAATTTCCTTACTGAGCGTATGTACGACGACTTAAACTAATTTCTATAATTAAGGACTTAAACTAAAAGTCACTATATTTATGGCTGAAAAATCCTAAAGTTTGTTCACTACAATGACTAGTATAAGAAATGAGCTCATTAAAATCATATCCGGGCGATTGTTTGTTATTTGTCACTCTAATCCATACCCAAAACTAGCATCGAACTCATAATCAGGATAGGAAAGCCATCATATGGCAAGAATACCGGGGAAAGCAGTATTAGAAGCTGAAGATGCAGAAAGCGTGCTTTTCGTCTACCGGTTTTGGGGTGAAAGGGTGTACTTCTTCTTTCTCATCTCCTTCTTCCTCCTCCGCCGGCTCATCGCCCCGACGGACACCGTCCGATCCATCGTCAACACCGCTCTCTTCCTCTACGTTCCTTTCTTCATCTACCTACAGCTGGGATACTTCAACATCCTTCATCTTTCCAAGACGGTATGTGTATTGATCAATTTTTAAAAACGTATTTAATTTACGTGAAATTCAATAAATTAAGCTTATGTGTTACGTTGGTGGTTACCGGGCCAGAAGGAGAAGGAGAAGAAAGGAGTAGTTGTTCGGATGGTACAGTTGTTGTTTCCGGCCTCCATGAGGACCGTCCATGCGATGGAATTCAGGCTTGCATTTGTGTTCCTCGTTTATATGGTGGCTGGCTTCACCGTCGGCAGCCTGGAGCCGAGACGAGGACGGTGGGTGCCGGAACCTGACGTCGTACTCGCTCTCGCCTTATTTGCCGGTCTCTACTTTGGCATCAACAAAGGCATCGGCTTTGCCCTGCGCCTCTACCATCCTCGCAGGCATTATGATCATCAGTATGGTTGTGATGAGGATGATAACAATGATAATGATTGTAATGACTATTTGTTACATGACAAGAGAAGACAGCCCAAGTCATGTCCTCAACGATCCTAGGGTTTAGCAGAGTAATTAATACGAGTACTAGTAGCTATATAGTATATAATATATTCTGTCGATGAAGAAAGAATGTATCGTTTTTTCGAGTTAATTTTTCTTTTCCTGATGTTTTTACAAGAGTAATTGTAATAGTACGTAGAATCACGGTCATCTCATGTTACTTCAATCTTGTCTCGAAACACTATTATTATTGTTGTAATTACGGCGATGAGGATGACTCGGTGGCGCCACCGGTCATTGGGAAGAAATAACGATTGTTGTTGTTGTTTAATTAGTGTGTGCTTGACCTTGTTTCCGATGATAAAATTTGTCTTGAATTGAGTTGACTTTGTCACTTCTTCGAATTATTACATGTGCACTCTCAATAATGGTGGGTAAGAAGTAGAGGCGGCAAATGAATTTAATTGGTGGATTCATGGATTAGAATAAATGTAATAGTGAATTTATTATTTATGAATTGAAGTGATGAAATTAGAGGTGGCAATTAGGATCCAAATCCATGAATTCAATCCAATCCATCCACCAAATTATCCCCCTAATCCAATCAATTTGATCCAAATCCAATTGGATTGGTGGATTCATGGATCAATCCATGGATCCAAATGGCAAATTACGATTTGGTACCTATATTTTTTACATTTTACATTTTGGTACCTAAAATTTATATTTTTATACCAAAAATCTCATTGGAAAATTACATATTGGTACCTAAAATTTTTCATTATGACATTTTAGTACCTAAACTTTTCAAATTTTACATTTTGGTCCAAGCCTTTGATGTCATTTGGATTCATGGATCAATCCACCAATCCATTTGATCCAATCCATGAATCCACCAATCCATTGGATCCAATCCATTTGATCCATGGATCCACCAATCCAATCCACGAATCCGATCCAATTGCCACCTCTAGATGAAATTCATGAATCCAAATAGCATCAATTTAGTGACTAATTGCCATATCTCGTAAGAAGGTTGTGGACGAATTCTTTTCTTTCGGAGGTTAAGGTAACCGCTGTCCGGGCTTTATGTAATTTGCTTTATAGTATTGGTACTATAAAACATTTACAGCCATTAGATCATGTTCAAACTATATCAACCATTAGATTTTATTTAAATTATTAAATTATTATTTTATTTGTGTGTGATAACCGGTACAACCGGTTGTCTGAAACCAATTGAGACAAACACTATCTTCCTTCGAAACCATTCTTCTCACCGCCGAAACCCTTCTTCCTTCGATCCTCTTCCTTCCTTCGATCCTCTCCACGCAGCTAGCGAGCAGTGAAGACGGCGACAGTGAAGACGGCGAGCAGTGGGTGACGACGAGTGAAGACGGCGAGCAGTGGGTGACGACGAGTGAAGACGGCGAGCAGTGGGTGACGACGAGTAGAAGGCGGCAGTGAAGGCGGCGATTCGGATTCCAGATTCCGACGACGACAGTGAAGGCGGCGAGCAAGGGACGACGAGAGCGAGCATCTCTTCGTCGATTGCAAACGAAGACCCTCTTCCCATCGATAGCTAACGAAGACTCTGCACAAAACCCCTCTTCCCATCGATAGCAAACGAAGACCGCTGACCTACCTCCTCCACCGCAACTTTTTTCGGTTAGTACTATCTTCTTTGTGTTTAGCTTGATAATTAGCTGCAATGGCGGTTCCTGTTGTTCCTTCACTTGTTTTGAAGGAGAATTTGCAGCATTTACCTTCTCTTCACCTTGTTTTTGCTGTTGAGGTTGTGCTTGATTTGTCTCCGTTTCAGCAACATCCTTAGCAGGCTCTTGTTGTTGTTCTTGTTGTTGTTCCTCAATCTTCTTCTGTTGAGGAGGAGCATTGGGTTCTTCTGTTGTTAGGGTAGAAGAATTCGAGTCTGAAGAATTCACAGCAGTTGTGGTTGTTGTTGTTGTGGTTGCGGTTGTGGTTGTTGATGATGCTTCCTTTGGTGAGGAAGCTTTGGATGGATGTTGTTGTTGTAGTTCTTCCATCTTCTTCGTGGGAGGATTGATATGATATGATATGGTAGATAGAAAGGCCGTGTTCACTGAGAAAGTTGGGAATTTTTCTCTGTTTAGCCAATTGATGAATGTAGTTAAGTTTGAAAACCATGATTTGTTTGATTGATTTAAGTCTCTTTGCTATGGTTAGTGGCTCCAAGCATGCGATTAACCAACAGAAATGGGTGCTTATCTTAACTGTTCACTTCATAGTATGAGTTTTCTGTTTGTGGAGTTATCGGATGTATCCGAAGGGACTGTATGTGGAGTTAGAATTGTGTATATAATGTAGAAAAGAAGTTTAGTGCAGTGGGTAAAAGAGCTTCCATGAATGATGAGACATTAAGGTCAAACTTAGTTAGGATATTTAGAGCATGGTTGTGGCTGATCGATATGCAAATACAGGAGGTCTGTTGGCCTTAGAATATACGGCAGCTTGGGAGTTACTCCCAGTTTTATTCTTTATTGTACATTCCGTGCCTCGATCTCATTTTGTATTGTTCATTTCGTTGTTGCCTTTGCTTTCAAACTGAAGAGAATAACTGTGCTGGGTTGTTCTGCTTGCTTCTTTAGTTCTTTGGTCTTGATTGGGTTTTAGGGATGTAAGGAATGGGTTTGTAGAGTTTACTTAATAGTCAATTTTTATCTCCCACATCCCACTAGAGTTCGAGTTATTTTCAGGGTTTGTAGTGTCGTTACCGTTGCTTGTTGATTACATTTTGGACTGTTAATTGAAGGGTCTTGCTTGGCTGCATGAAAGGTGCAATTGAGTGTGTTAGTCAAGAACTATTTCATGAAATCAGGGTGACTTCAGTTTTAGCCAGTTTGGATGGAAATAGAGCGAGTGTTTATGGTGGTGTCATGGGTTATGGAAAGCTTAGTGGCTATGCTCGTGGTCATGTTATTTAGCTCTCAAAAGTTGTAAGTTGTGTGTGGTTTCTGGAAATATCACGGCTGTGAGAGAGACCGTGGATGTAATTCTGGAAATATCACGGCTGTGAGATAGGCCGTGAGAGAGACCGTGTATGTAAAAACGCACTTCTCAGTTTCCCAGAGGTTTTCACGGGTTGCCTTCGACAGTGTCACGGCCGTGAGATGAGCCGTGTTTTTGGATATGGATGATGGGCATCTCACGGCCCCTTTGTAAATTATCACGGGCCCCTTTGTAAATTCTCACGGGCCCCTTTGTAAATTATCACGGGCCCCTTTGTAAATTCTCACGGCCCCTTTGTAAATTATCACGGGCCCCTTTGTAAATTCTCACGGCCGTGAGAATAAGCCGTGTGATTGTCTGGAGATATGCAAACTTCTCTTTGCTTCTCACGGGTCATGTCACGGCCGTGAGATTTTGCATTTTGGGTGAAATTTAATGAAAGCTGGGTGTTTTCATGGTTAATTAGTGTACTCAGGTGTTGATGTAGGGGGTTTTCAGTTCTTCTGGTAGTTAGAACTTGTATTTTGTTTGTACTCTTCGGCATGCTTATAATTCGTGTTTCAAGGCATGCTTATAATTTTTCTGTTGTTTTAATTTTGCAGTTTGCTAAAATTGTTCTATAATGAAGACGAAGAGGCATCAAATTTTCAGCACGCGATGTTCTCCTAGGAAAGTATTCTCAGTAGTCTCAAATTTAGAGGCTTGTCAATCAGAGGCCATTAGGAGATGTGGCTTTGGTCGTATTCTTGATGTCAAAGCAAGAAAGCTACAACGTGAGTTGTTGGAGAAACTTGTGAAGAGCTTTAATCTGGAAGAAAGCACAATTAAGGCGTATGGGTTGGAAGTGCATATTTCGGCCAAAGATTTCGAGCGAATTATGGGTGTGCCTGAGGGAGGTACTGATATCATCTTGAATGGTGAAGAAGTGGAGGGAAGATCAGAGGAATTGGAACCATTTAGAGTGTTTTCGACACGTGATTGTGGCCGACAGGCGATTTCCACAAGCTTAATGCAGAAGGAGTTGTCGAAGATGAAAGATAGCGACGATCTATTTCTTCAAATGTTTATTTTGTACGTAATGGGGGTGCTATTAGTACCAACTAGAAGAGAGGACATTTCCTTGTCTTCGGTATACGCTGTCACCGATGTTGCAGACATTCCGAAGAAGAATTGGGCATCCTTTTGCTTCAATGAATTGGTCAAATGCATCTGCCACCATAATGTTTATAAAAGAGAGTATATACCGGGTTGCTTGCTGTTTTTGGAGGTAAATAATTGCTAATCCCGACTTTCTACATATTTGTAATGATTAATCATCATGTTGATTATAGTATTTTTTTTTTGTAGTTAATATTCTTGGAGCATGCAAATGGTATTTTCCAAACCGTTGATGGGAGTTTGGATTTGATGAGTTGGGGGAGCGGAGACGTGGAGTTATTGTTAACAAAAGTGGTAAGATTGATAGTATATTTGATTCTTTTGACAAGTTGGAGCATGCTAATGGTACATTTGGTTCCCTTTTTAATTAATTTATAGGTTTCCAGCAGTTCGGGGAAAAGATCAGCTGAGGATGCCGGTTTGAAATCACCTCCAAGGAAACGGGGAAAAGGAGACGGGAAACGGCACAAACCCGACGGGGATGAGCTGCTTCCCTATGAGCGTATTGATGCTCGGTTTAGTGCCATGGAGGGTAGAATTGACAACTTTGGTCAAGAATTTAGAGTGGCAATGGGTGATGCTGCTTGTAGAGATAATGAGCTAATGAGCCGGGTTGTGAAAATGGAGAACGAATTTCGGGCTTTTAGAGACGAAATCGGTACTGCAGTGAAGTCCCTTATAGAGGCAGTGAAAGCAACTGTAGGTGATCAGTTGTCAAGGGAGCAGCCTAGGGAACCCATTTCTCCTACAGCTGGGTTGAAAAAGAACGATCAGAAGGGTGAGGTTGAAAAACCTAGGGAACCCATTTCTCCTACCTTGGAATGTGTCAAGACTGCCAAAGTTGAGAATTCGGGAGAAGCTGAGGGGGAAATTGGAGATGAGAGATGTTCTGAATCTCCTTCTGTGAAAGTTGTGAAAAAGTCTCCTTGCAAGCAGCCTAAAGCGTCGCAAGTTGAGAAATTCATATTGTTGAGTGATGAAAGTGTTGCTGCTAATGAGGGTTGTTCCAAGGCTGTGAAGGTATTTCACTTGATTAATTTTTCTAATTATTGGTTCTTATGGTGTGGTTACTAATGAACTGGTTTTGTTTTTTTATGTTTTTGAACAAGAAAGGGGCGAAAGGGAGGTGCACTACGTAGTGTGTCTAAATTGAAG